ATATATATATATACACACTGTATTAAATATTAATTTTAACATATAAGTTTAATGACTCTTAATCGCGCACGAGTAGAAGAAGTTTGATCGATTAACTTGAAGGATTAACTCGAATAACTTACTAACCGATTGATTGATGAGCTGCCTGACTGACTGACTGACTGACTTAGTCGGCTCAATGATAATCGCAAACGACTAAAAGGACGAAGAAGTGGGGATGTGTCCGCACGGGAAGAGAACCGAATACTCGTCTTGCATATGAGATGCCAAGGCGAATATTATATTATCACCACCACCGTCACTATTAATGCCATTTCTAAGAAGTCAATTTTCATTTTTCATATTGAAAGACTACTATTGGAATCGAAAAATCAGGATAGCATGTGACTTTAATGAAGAAAACCTGAATAATTCACATGTTGACAATGATTATTCTTATACAGATGTTATTATACAATGATTATAAAGAGAAAGTTTTATGTGGAAGACAAGCAGATAAATCGAAAACAAGTTATATATTAAATTAAATAGCTCGAATAGTTTTTAATTGTAACTGTACAAATAAATAAAATTTTTTATGCCGTATATCAGTTTTGAACGGAAGAAATCTTATTTTGCAGAAAGAAGAAAAGAAATTTTGTAGAAAATAATTTTTCAAGCCTAAAAATTTTCTTATCTTAATATTATTCTCTCTTTGAGAACTTTCGAAAAATCGAAATGCGATGCTTGCCAATGATTATCCCAGGAAATCGAGTGAACGTAAACGGAAACTTGGGTAATTTCAGCACAGCGATTTACCGCCATGTACAGCTTTCACTGGATACGACATTCTTATTGAATCTTTCTTTTTTTTTTCGTTCCACTTCGCAACAAATAAATGGCCGGCGATCAACATCGCTATTGGTTAAGGGACTCACTTTTTATAGAAACAGAATACCTTTCTCACTTAGACTCAAGGTCTCCGAAATGTCCTATTGCAAAATGTTACAAAATGTTGCAATCTTTCGCCTAATTGTAAATATAATTGCATATAAATTATATTTCTCGTGCGTGTTGTACGAGTGAAAATGCCGTTGTATGAGTCATTTACGTGGCACGCGAAGAATCTGGTTGCATATTCGATATCGATTGAGGAGAATCTGTGTTTTTTTTTTTAGAATTTATTATTTATAGATTACTCACACATAGCGTTTGCATATAATTACATATAATTGCATATAATTACAATTTCTTTGTAAAATATTCACGTATTTTCGCGATTTCCCATAATAGGATATTAATTAAAAAATATCTGGAATATTGGAAAATATCACGTAAACGGTAGTTACACGTCAATGCGTCATTTGCACAATCGATGGTTTGAACAAAATGTAGACGGTTATTACTGGATTTTTTTTGCATCATTACGATTGCTTATACATTGCGAAACTGAGCATAACTCAATTTCCAAACATTATTACATATCGTAATATTGTATCACAGTGATAATCATCAGTGACAATAAGAAATTTAATGACACGTGTATAAAAGTGCAATATATTCGATATTTATAGTTTGACTAAACACAACACATTGCATATCACACACACATAATATTTCTATTGAAACTCTGTACTTTGCAAAATATTAAGTTTGATAAAAGTTTATCTATATTAAATTATAAAAATAAAATTCAATTTACATAATCTTTTATACTATAATCACATTTAAAGCAACCATCATTTTATAAAATTTGCAAAGAATAAAAAATCTAAAATTTCGGGTTATTTTATACATACTTTCTATCAAAAATGTATTAATCAAAGAAAAATTTACATAAAGATACTTTGCTTCAATATTATTCAAAGCATAATCAATAGTCATAATTCATTATATATCTTCAAATATAAAAATAAATAAGCTAACGCGCGCGTTGGTGGTAAAAAATGCAAAATACTATTAGCATCGAGCTACATTTGTTCATAATATTTGCCATTTTTGTTATATTTCTGGCAAATTTTTCAATAAAATTATATTACATTTTATATACTACTATATACTGCGATGTATCTGGTCACGTTATCTTGAAGATACACTGTATCGGGCATGAATTGTACAAAAATTTATATCACAACTGTAATTCGAAAGAAAAATATGTTAATTTTCGTGAACGAAGTTTATAATCAATCTAAGTTTACATAAATGATTTGGTTAACGACTGCCGTTGGCGATAATTACGTCGGAATAAGACCCAGGACATGTTAAACGATTTAATCGATCGTCAGCTGCCGGAAGGATCCATCGAGACCGAATAGGTCGTCCTGCGTCTTTGGTTTACCTGGTCGCAAAGCCTCGTTAGTTTTCACAGCTTCCTGCTCCGCGAACCACGGTCCATATTCTTCCAACTTCTTCATCCACATTTCTGGAAAATGAAGAAAAAAGTTAGTTATGTCAACCAGATAAAAATTATTTCAACATTAAAGATTTTTTAACATTTGATTGACGTTTCGCACTTCTATTTTGATAATAAACTTATATATCGGATATTTAATAAAGAAGATTTAACATTTTTTTAGGATTCCTTTTAAGAAAAAAATTCATTTGGTATTCTCGAGAAAAAAAAAAGCAAGGCAATGGTGCTTGAAATTAAGCGACATTCCAGGGCGAACTCTATAACGTCTAATCAATAAAATAGTGAAATGTCGTGCCATGTATATCCTGGATGGGTCCGGCGTCGCCGCCGTACTCGGTCGGCAATATTTCTCGAGGTACGTAATCGTAGAGCGTCTTAATGTCACTATGCATAAAGATGCGATTGCGTATCTTCTCCTTTAGGAACGGCTTGACGAAATTGTGGATCGTGTCGACGATCGGACTGACGTTTATCACGTGCACTTCCTTCAACTTCACCGGATATGCCTCCTGCGTGCAGACCAAAAATTTCTTCACTATGGCCGGCGTGAACTTGGCGAAATGCGTGGGCGTCGCGACGGAAGCGTCGAGGATGTAGACGTCGCCGGCCACACCACATTTCTCCTCCCTCAGACGAATGTCGCCGATCATAAACACAACCTTTAATAACGACGACATCTGTTATTCTGACGCACGAGATGTGACATAAAATATTTACGATAATACGACAATAAGAAATAAATAATACAAGTCATCTTATTCTCGGTCTTTCGTTCATAGACGGAACATAGCTCTTTCAAATGATATTAAATATTAGCAATAAAAGAATGCATTGAGAAAGAGAATTAATTGTTCATAATTGTAAAATCTTATTAAATTTAGAGAAAAGCATTCGTCTTTTGGATTCTTAAATAATTTTTGATTCTTAATTAGTTTTTTAATTAGTATTTGAAGTTAATTTAAAGTTAAATAGTTTGATTCTTAATTAGATTCTTAATTAGTATTTGAAGTTGATTTATACCTTCATAGCTTCCGCTACATTAGGAGTTGGGACATCCTTAGTGACTCCTCGCATCACGATCACTCGGCGTCCATTCTTTGTCAAACCCGGTAAAGGAGGTATTTGTCTGCGGGAAGAGGACGAAAAATTAGGGTTTGTTTAATCCGAATTATTTGCCGCGCATCTTCTTTTTCAAATGACAGCAAGATATCGCTATATGTATATATGTTGTGATTGCGATGCTTACATGTACTTCATTAGTTCTTGCATCGACGGCGTCGTGATGTCGCGATTGGAGAAAAATTCGGGGACTATCGCGCGCATTGTGAAATACATGTCGAGCTTCCGTTTGCATTTCTCCAAGGAAAATTTGCATCCTCGCAGAAAGGTCATTATTCTTTGATCATCTAGAAAAAAAAAAAAAAACAAATTATATATCGTTGCGACTGATAAAAAAAATAATTTGTTCATAGCTTACTTTGGATCTATATAATTCGTGTCATAATCTAAAATAAAATTTTTTTGTATAAAGTTTCAATTACGGAGTAAGTTTATATCTAATTAGCTTCTTAATGCATAATCCCAATTAGTCATAAACAATTTCTTTAACAGTTTTTTTAATTCTTTTTATAATCATTTAGTATAAAATTACTTTCTCAAAAATTACTAATATTTAAAAAAAGAAAGTGGAATATTATCTATAATAGTTCTTTGAAATGATATATAAATTATATATCATTTTTAATAGGTTGTATTAAACAAAAAATATACTTTCTATAAGCACAATGTATACTTGAATATTGTAAATATAAAATTAAAAATAACAATAAAACATCTGTTACACGATTTATAATGTGCTCTCAGTTTCGATAATAATCATAGCATGTACCATCAAACTTAGGTAAATGCGGTTGCTTGGAAAGCCATTCTTTGATAATTTCGAGATCTTTATCACGCGTTGCTGGATTCTCATTCAGCTCCACTCGTATCTGCTTGGACATTTCCTCCGTAGGTTGTACGAGCAACATCTACGAACAAAAAGATAATAAGAAAAAGTAATAGAGACTATCTATCAGAGAATTCTATCAGAGAATATCTATCAGAGAATTCTATCAGAGAATATATATCAGAGAATTCTATCAGAGAATATCTATCAGAAATATTTATCAGAGAATTCTCATAACAAAAAATTTATTAATTCCGATATTCTTTTCTCCGAATTAAAAAGCGTAAAATTAAATTATTGACATAAATCGGACACCGTTCCGGTTATGTGTAAAGACTACATGACTCCCTTTCGATTGCACATGTTACGCGCGTAATGCACTACAGACATTGCACAACTCAAGTTAAGATACCCATCGTTTCTTATGTCAGGAATTAATGCTGACCAAAGCGGCTTGCTCAACACAAACTTTCTCTAACTCGTAGTGAGTTCGTACAGAGGAGCAAAGAGAATGTTCCCTGGTCTTTCCGAAACGGTGATATTGTTTCAATATTATTTTTTTATGATTGACCCATTTAGTCACCAGTTGTCACTAGTTACAAAACAGATTACAAAACCGCATTTTTACGATCTACATATGGGATATAATCAACCCATCATTATGAATAATGATACAGGTCCTGAGAACAAAATTATCATTTAAGAAAAAAAGAGAAGTTTGAAATTGAAAAAGAGAACCAAGAGACCAAGAGATAAAATGATTTGCAATTGTCTATAATTATTCTCTATTTCTAGAGTAATAATTTTTTTTATTAGAACAGTTATGACGTAAGCGCTCTTGGCCAAGGAACTATTGCGATCGCGATAATCTCCCTGCAAAGTGCGAGAAAATTGGCGAGTGTGAAAGTTTGCGAGCATTAAAAAAAAATAACAAAGAGAGATAAGAGATTTATAACATTATGTCTCAAGCGGGTAGAATGCAATTTAAATACAATGGAAATTATATTCTCTTAATAATGTGAAATCAATATAAGATAGATGGAAAAATAAGAGATAAGTAGATAGATAAGTAGATAAGTAGATAGATAAGTAGATAGAGAGATAAAGAAATAAAGATAGGTAGATAGAGAAAGCGAGAGAAGAGAAAAGAGAGGCAATCTAATTTAATTTTAATTTTTAATTAAATATTAACAAGCAAAATTAACAATAATAATAATAATAATAGCACTAGCTACACCTTTTTGGTGTGTAGTCTACGCTTCTTTTTCTCTTATAAAAAAATTGAACTGCTGTCCTTGAAAAAACCTGAAATTGGCTAACACGATGAAGCAAGAAACCATAAATGAAAGTATAGCAGTTGTACAAATTATATATTTCGGCTAATGTAAATTCATCAATTCACATCAATTTATTCTTGTTGAAAATAAACTGTTTTTATTACAAGACCAAATCTTTTTAATTCAAATGTAATAACTTTAATTCTATATTTAAATATTTATAAATTTTTAGAAATACAAAAAAAGAGAGACATAAATCTATACATTTAAACCTGTTTTCATAAACACACATATAATAACGTAAGGAAAAGACTTAAAACTTTTTTAATTCATAAATATTTAAAATTCTTAAACGATTGCTTAATTCTTTTTTGAAATAAATTCGTATGTTGCGTCTGTATATACTGTGAGCAAAAGTAAAAAGAAGACAGAAGAATAGCAAGTAAAGAAAATCCCAAGCTTAAAAGAATATATTATAAAAACAGACTAAAGAAGTATTCAAAAGAAATTGAAAAAAATGATTTTGTTTTCACGAGAAAAATTCAGCGTAAAATTAAAAATAAAAAAACTCATGCGATCTTCTACTTTCTTTATCATATTTAAATAAGAATTAAACGAATAAAATATAACATTTATGTCGTTCACTAAATATAAAGTTAATCCGGATGTCGTGTAAGAATTTTAGTTTCAATTTGGTTTTTGCGCGCCAAGTGCGGTAATTTTTCAATCGTAATGTGTGACAAAATGTGGAAGAGAGGAGCTTTTCATACGTGACGCACGTTGTAGACGAGGGCCAAACTTACCTTGACCGATGTTCAACGCGATCCACAGGCACAGGCGGACACTTGACGTGCAAACGATCGCGGCGGCGATGACTTTCGGATTGTTGCGGAAAGAGAAATGAGCAGAGCGGCGAACTCTCGGGAGACGGCAAACGAACAACGGAGTGGGAACGATTACCTCGTGTGTGGACCGGTTCTCCTTTATACCATAGAGATACCCCCCTCTCGCTTTGCTTTCTGTTACAGTGCACAGTAGGAAGAAAATTTGATCGATGCGCGATTTTAGGGGAAATTTAACAAATTCAAACCGCCATCAAATCGCTTTGTCGGGGATAACCCGGATGAGATCATCGCGTTTATTCCGCAGCTGAAAAAAATGTGCCCTAGACCGGATAACTTCAAAGAAGAAACAGTAAGCGTTTGCGGAATGTTTGCTTGTCGGTGACCTGGACGATTTAAAAAAAAAAATGGGCTGAAATTCTTGAAATAATTTTTAGTCATCATTAAGCATTTTCGAGAAAATATAAAAAGCTACTTATTAAAATTTTAATAATTTTGTAAAAAAATTAATGCGCGTTAACGTAGAACGTCCTGCCTTTTTTTCGAAAAAAAGATTACTTGCTAGCTCTCAATACTCTGTTTTATTATGACATATCGCGTATCGTTTTATTATGTATATCGTCTAACGGATGATATATGTTATCTTCCATTTTGTAATATATATTTAATTAAACTTAATAGTGTATTGTACATACACTTCGTTCAGGGAACAATTCATATTTTTTGTTCAGCTAAGATAACAATTAAACCAACACAAGCGCGGCTTTTTGATACATATAAGTACGCGATATCCATCATTCTTTGTCGATAGTAGTAAATAGCCGATAGCGATAAATAGCAGCATTAGCGGAATAGTTGCGTATTTTAATAATACTTCGACGAAGACCAGAGAATTAACACAGCGCACGTGTAAATTTATTTGCGCGTCGTACGCAACCACAATAATTTCGCAATTTAGTTGCTTACCGAGAAACGACGATAGCTAACTTTAATATAATTCCATGATTTTAGAAACTTATGAAATTGTACGTTTATGTAACGCGAAAATCCTCGCCCGGTGATCACGCCTGGCCGCCTTGGTGCACATGCATCATCTTTCTTGCTCTGATAAGCAACGAAACTTTCTTCCTCGGGATTGATCCATGCGCCTTTAAGAGGCTCGCGCGTGTCGCCAACTGATCCAAAAATTACATTACCTTTTTTACATTATTATTATTTCTACATACATTATGTATTTAAATACTACATGCGAACATATCTAAATTGCTCGTATAATTGATGACAATGAGTTCAGTCTTCGATGTTTTTGCGCGTATAACTCATAACTGCGTTTTGCGTAATTACAGCGATTTTTCATCGCGTCTTTACGCCAATCTAAATAAATAATATATTTATTATCATTATTATTATTATTATTATTATTATTATTATTATATGTTTGTTTCCTTACATATGCTCGCGTAACGTTTATGAGGTCAACGAGGTTTCCTCGGAAGGCGCGAGTGTTATCGGTAACGTATGATTATGATAATTATTCGCGCGAGCGGGATCGCGATGCTTTGTTCTCGCGAACAATTAGTAATGAAGAAATTTATTATCGGCTCGTCCGCTTGTCGATGCGCGAACTCTCGCTCATCGCCGCCGACGGAAGATACCCGGCGGTGATAAGGCGGGTGATAATCGCGGTGCTCTCGCTCGATTCTTCACTTCCGAGTGCATAGAATCACACGCTGACTGAACCGCGCTCGTGCCCTCGTCTTACTTTCTTTCGCGGGTACGATCGCGGGCATGTTGCGCGCCTCGCCGTTGCCGGTGTAGAACCAGTGTAGAATTACGCGAACGGCGACCGTCATGACCGAAGGAATTCGCGTGTGTGTATGAAATCGCTGGTCGCAATCGCGCGCGATTTTGTAATTGGCCGCAACGAGCAGGGAGCCCGTGTTTACACGCGCAATAAATACTTGCTCCTGCAAATATACGCGAAAAGGTCAACCGGGCTTTCCTCGTGTAGACGGCGAACGTTAGATGTATTTCGTTTCCTTTGGGTCAAATTTTATGTAACGAATTGTTTTTATTGGAAAATTAATCGTTTCCTAGAGAAAATTTCTTAGAGATCAGCAGAGTTTTATTGATGTAAACCAGGGCATTTATGTAAAATTTATTCGTGGATTTAGTTTATAATACGATATTATAATGCAAGATATCGTAATTTTATAGTCATATTTGAGTGCTCTGAATGCATTATTTATGAAATAGTTTCTCCATATTGGTTTTTAAAGAAAGGAATATTATCAGAATTGTCAGGACTTGTTTTCTCGTGTATATAAATTGTAAAATAGATAAAAGGGGTAAATGGAAGAAAAAGATATAGAAATAAAAAATATTATGAAGATGAGGAGCACGAAATATCATGTGTCTGCTTTTAAGATATCATTGCAACCATGGCGAGAATCGAGGTCGTGACACCGAGCATTGTAGTGAGGCCACACGATATCTTCAATGAAGTCGAACTTCTGGCTTCTTTTTTTTTCTCGACAGTTGTTGTTTCTTCAGTGTTTATAGTGCTCTAGAAAGAAGAAATACAATACTCACTTTTATGTCCAAAGCTAACGTGTCATTATTATTTTTAAATAAATGCTTATAAATATTTTTGTTATTAAATTTAATATTTAATTTAGTATTAATTTAATTAATATTATATATCAATAAAATATATTTTACCAGCTTGATATTATTTAATATCATCCTATACAATCTGTACGGAAGAATATAAATATATATAATATATATAATACTAATTGATATGTCGAATTAGTATTATTATTCTCAGAATGCAAGATAAGTATGTATAGTAAACAGAAAGAATATTAAAATAAGCTTGTAAAAGTTTTATCAAACTATAATAATTGTTTTAAGTATATTGTTAATATTTATTAAGTCCATTTACCTTACCGATTTTTCAGCGTCATTGCTTCTGATAATTCTTTTTTGCACTGGCAATTTTTGCGAAAATATTTCGATTGGCATATGTGGAACAGTTGAAGCATCGCGTTTCTGTCTATTCGCACATCCCATATCACGACATTCGCTCGTGATTGCTTTTTTAATTGTAACCGAAAATTCATTAATAGTTTTTGCCTCTTGAAGAATTCGATTATTCGGCCCTTGCGCAACAAATGGAATAGATTTTTGGTCTTCAGCACAGATTTGCATTACAACTAAGAGAGTATCTTTCGAAGAGATCTGTATTGATTATGAAAATTGATGTAAGAATTTATTAACATAAAATGTAAAAACCAATAATTATATAATGCTTTCTTAATAATATTTTATTTTTCATATTCATATATATTTTAATTTGATTAACGGAACATGTTGGATAATTATCAACGTTGGTTATGTAATATAAATGTAAATTAATATTTCGGTTTCTTTAAGTTGTTTTGACGGATTAGATCTACAAATTTTATCGACAATATTACAATGAAGTAGCATACTTCACGTTGAACGAGATCAATGGCGGCAGCTCCCTCGCTTCTCGGCACGACGGCAATCAGCATGTAACCCTTTGGAATAGATTTGAGTTCTCTGATAGTATTTCCAATTAAATTGATCACAGTTGGTCTAAGAGAGAATGGTTTATGCAATGAGAATTCATCCTCTAACGTGCCATCGTTTCTGCGTAACGACTCGAGCAAGGAACGGAAGAAAGCCATTCTTATTTTGGAGAACACATCGAAAATGTTCCAAGTGACGTCATAATTTGTCTCTTCTGTAAACGATAAAATCATTGTTTTAAAATATTCTATCTTTCTATATCCTAACAAAAAATTACGAAATATTATCTTATAACACGTATCATATCCTTTATATTTTAAAGTTATTAAAGTAATTATCAAATATATTATCTTATATTTTATATTTATATTTTATATTTTATGCTTATTAATTATCATTTTTATAAGTGTCATTGAATTATTAGAATTTTATCTATGAATCCTGAATATTTTTATCTTTAGTAAAATATTTTTTCTTCAACTATATTTTCTTCAACTATTCTCACCTCTTGCTTTAGAATTAGGCGCAATCAGAAGAGGAATAGATTTTGCACGGTCACTCGGATTGATCACTTGCCAATCGTCATTGAAATTACGTTTGCTTTTATGCAAATCCAATTTCACGTCACTTTCGTTAGAATTAGACTTATATTTAGGGAAGAGCGGGATCGAGAAATTGCTGCCGAAAACTGTGCCTGTTTGATAAAATCGACAAAATTAATGATCAACGTAAGAAATAGATTAATCTTACATTTTAATATTTAATATTTTTTAATTTTTTATTTTTATATTTTTTCAATACTAAATATTTTATAATTTAAATAAAACTTTTCTTCTTCTTGTTGACCTATTGTCATTTCTCTTGTTTGCCTCGCCCAGAATAACAAATCTTCAATGTTTGAGCGAAGAACACTCTCGCAATTGCAACTTGTTTTCTTCTTTTCAGAAATTAATTTGTCCAACGAAGAATTGGTGTTCTCGATTTTGTCATGACAATTCTATAATATAAATGTTGCATAACAAAATTTGAATTTGAATTATATTATATATTAAAGAAGATTTTATACAACATAAAAAATAAAGAATTACAAGAATTAAATATTTTTATGTTTTCCTTAAATCTAACAAGAAAATTTAAAAACTTGTACATTTAATCACTTCTTTAAAATATGCGGCAGTCAGATTTTTATGAAGAAATAAATTGTTTTATGTTTAACCAAGATATAATTTCACTCGAATTCATCTTCCGAATTTATTCTATTCACTATTGTATGTAGAAAATAATGAAAAAATAAAAGAAAAATTTGACTGCTAATGATCAATTCAATTATTTACAAAGTTATTCGAAATAATAAAAACATAAAAAATAATTAATATAATTATGGGAAAGTACTTCTTGAGAAAGAAATCCTTCAATCGCAAAAGGCAATCTCTTTTTGTAATCTTTCCACGAGTTCTCTTCCTTTTCCTTATCTTGGTTTCTTTCATCGATCAGAAGTAAAATAATATTTCGAGGAACGATAAAAGTATTAGCCTTTTCTTCAAAAGGATCAGAAGCGTCATTTCTCATCGCCGATGCTATTTCATTGAAGAGTTTCATCTCGATATTCTCGGTTGTTGATTTCTTTTCCCGCGTCTGATTTTCAGCGCGTGAAATATTTTTTGAAGTTTTCACATCCACAGCTCGGAGAATGTTATCCATTCCTGTCATCTGCATATTGTTCTTCAATACAGGATCGACAAATATCCTTTGATAACTGTCCAAGGATGGTGCAGTGTCCCATGCAGACGGCATAAACGCTACTACTAAAGTGCAAGACATAAATCATAAGTCAATAATAATACGTAATAACATTGTTCTCGGAAAGGCGTGTTTAAATAACACATTATGCATTCGTATGCTGTATATATTTTTTTTTTTGACAAAGGAAGAAGAAGAAGAAATATTACGCGCGTAAGAAACATGATCTAAAATAATCGGTCTTTAAAAACAGAGAGCTAAGAAATGGAAACTAAATAATTGATTTAAATGATAAATGTTTAGTCACGAAGTAAAGAGAATAGATTGACACAATCGTTACCTGAACGATTCATTGTAAATCCGAAGGAGCACGTCATCAGCGACCATAGTACCACGAAAATACCGGAACACGACATAATGACTTTCGCTAACCAAATTTATTAATTATGTTTCCTTATGACACAATTGAATTATCTTGTCTTGCGCACGTGTGCGTAATTTATAATATATCACTTACCCATAATCGAATTGGAATCGTTTTTTGATAAAAACGTTAAAGAATAATCCCGAGAAATTCACACGATTCTTTAATTCTATTTGAATCGTCAATCAATCTCGAATTGTTACGTCCACTTTGTTTTCCTTCCGAAAAACAATTAGGCGACGCTGTCGCTAATCAACAAAATCAGTTGCCCAAACAACTGAAGGAGTATATCCCAAAACGAAAAAAATCCAAACGAAGTTTTTTCAAAAATTATTTTAAATATCAAGTACTCGATGAAATCAGGATGTAACAATTTTTTTTTAATTTATTAATTGACGCTTCACTTAGATTTTAAATTTAAACAGATAAAATTATTCCATTTATTGGTAGGTTTTATTTGATAGGTTTAAATGGGAAATAACTTCGCATTTTAAATAATAAATTAAAATATCTCGTAAGACTATCATTAAAAACTCTATCAATAATGAGAGTTGATCCACTTTTGACTTAATTTCTGTGTTGGTCTGTATCATTAACCGACTGTCATATTGAAGTAAGGACTATCGCCCTAAATAATGAAAGACTCGTTATTATTACGTACGATCCATACCCGTAACTTGCGGCGCGGCCCATGTTTTAAGTCGATACGTGACATATTTAACCGTTGAGACTTACATAGGTCACTCTTACAAACTATGCTTGCGATCCGATTATACTATTTGTTTTACGTCATTCGTTTCGTATGCGCTCGTACTTTACGTACGAATCATTTATTTTCATCGACCAACTGCGTCTTACGTATGTGATGATGGTACCCCAGCAAATTGCAACTCATTCGCAGGAATTCGAGTACACTTTTCGATATTATGCATTACGAGAAAAGATTTTCCGCAACATTTTTCCGCTGAGAAAAATCACTTCCACAAAATTTATTATTACAGTTAATAATTATTATTTTGCATGTTATAAAAAATACTCCACAAACAAATTCATCAAATTTTGTTCTCCAAATACATATATATATATATATATATATATATATATATATATATATATATATATATATATATATATATACAAGATTTGTACATATAAAATAACATAACAATTACTTGACAGAAATACTTTGAGGGAACATAAATTTTGCATTGATGAATAAAAAGAACAGATTGATAAGAGTCATTTTGTAAATTAGACCAAACTTTTTATTCAAATTCGAATATTAATGCAATCATAAAACGAAAGACACGATTTTCCAGTTAACATTATTGCCAATATTGACTAAAGAATCCCGTAATAAGGGACTCGCCAAGTATTTCAGAACAATTTCCAGGAATCGACGCCACGAGCCACGAGCAATACGGAGATCGTAGCGGAAGCTTCGTTTCACCAGTTGCTAACCACTGCTCTAGACGTCTTGGGACTTTGGATTGTTTTCTTCGTTGAAACTTTCTTTACGTTGAAAACTGCAGGGAGCACGGCGGCGGTGTATCTGAATTATTAAGAGGCTTATAGACCCCCGTGCAGTACTCGAGGACGGCGCAAGAAGCGACATGGCGTCGGAGGAACGTCGCGCAACGCGACGGAGCGGTCTGCGCTTGGTTACCGGGCCCCGATTGGTCCACGTTTGGTACCTACCCTATTGGAAGGGGTTCCTCATCGATGGGGTAGTGGTGGCGGTCAGGTCATAACCGGAGGTTGGGACAAGAAGGTGAGAGCAGAGGATACCTAGGCCTCGGCCGAAAAGACGAGTAGCTTTCACCCACAACGAACCCGAATCATAAAACGACGACTGATGGCAGGCCGGCTAGTTAGTTTACTCTTCTTCGTTCTTCTGATATATCTGGCACGATTGCTGCAACGTAATCGCGAGGCGTTGAAGGCCGCATCGTAAATCGGCCGCGGAACCAACAAGATTCTTTGCTTTCAGACATCTGTGATCTTGGACAGTCAAAGCGACCAAGGTAGGATTTCGTGCTTTTCGAATAAAAAAGCATAAAGAAATACAAAACATGTTCAAGAAATATTTGAAAAGTGTTGATAAAATTAGGATGTGTTTTATGTGTTATTTGGAAATGCGAAACTATGCGAATAACATGTATTTAAACGGGAAATTATTCTATTAAATTTTGTATCATTTGGCAATGTCAAATTTAAAAAAAAAAGTTTAAAATTTATTTAAAATATAGAAAAACCTTTACAAAATTCTTTAAATATTTGCGTCTTTTTGCGATTTATGGTATATTTATGGTAAAACGCATAATCGGTGGTGTATATACTCTGTGCAGAAAAGTTATACATTTCTAGAAGTTTCGTTTGCACATCATTTTATGCATGGCTTCGTGATAGATGATATAATCAACAATGTGTATTAGGTGTGAATTACAATCAATCGCGAGTTATAAAGTTGCTAAAAAATTCCAATGACAATTCTGTACAATAAAGTGTTCAGCAGTTTTATGATAAAACGATATGTAGCTCGTTTCGTTTGCTCGTAGATGATGAAGGGAAAGCAGCAGGGCCTGGTGGCCGACCTTGCGCCCAACATTAGGGTCATGAAAATTTTTGGGCATTTCGTATTCAATTATTACGATGATAATTCGTCCAAATACTTGCATAAAGTGTACTGCTGCGTAAGTATCTATATTATACTCACATCGATACAAAATTTAATTTAATTGCCATCCCAAATCAAACTCGAAGCTTTCGAGATCGTTTAGCTTACAATGACGATGTTTTGAATAAATATTAAACAAGCTTCTGTTATACAGCAATATAATAAAGAATGAATAAAGAATGGCCAGAAAAGCACAAAATGATATTTAAAAAAAGAGAAAATTATAATATATTCAATAATTTGATGTTTTAACAATTTTAATAATCGACGCTGTTGAAACAACTATTGTTCTTGGTATTTGTGTTGAATGGGGGTCCCACATTTGTGGTAATTCTCCGGGAAAGCACACACAAACTGTCTTTTTCAGGTGAATCTATTCTTGTTGCTGTTGCAATTTGGCCTGTGCGCGGTGAATCTGATAATCGAGAGCGCCGACGTCGACGATCTCACGGCCAACACGATCACCCTCCTCTTTTTCACGCACAGCATTGTCAAGATCGTTTATTTCGCCGTAAGGAGCAAGTACTTCTATAGAACATGGGCGATATGGAACAATCCGAATTCCCATCCGCTCTTCGCCGAGAGCAACGCGAGATATCACGCGATCGCTCTGAAGAAGATGAGGCTGCTGCTCTTTTTGGTCGGTATCACCACCGTTCTCGCCGCGATAGCTTGGACCATCCTGACTTTCTTCGAGCACCCGATTAGAAAAGTCGTGGATCCGGTCACGAACGAGACAACGATTATTGAGGTAATAATCTAAATTTATTAAATATAAAACATATTGCACTTGTTCTAGTAAGAAAAATTTTTTAAATTATTGAACTCGAGAAGTACTGCTTTAAGTCAAAATTACTTTACCTTTTTATCTTTAAAAATTATAATATACAATTAAAATAATATAATTTCAATCTAAATTGTAGAACTTGATTAAAATAAGTTATATAATGTATAATTAAAATATTTTTCTCTTTCTTTTTCTTTTTTTAATTTTTTTCTTATGATATATTTCATTTACTATATTGTGCGTATAGTTACACTTGAGAGTATTAGTTTATTCTATGTATATAATGTATATAATATTCTATGTATATAATTCTATGTATATAATATTCTATGTATATAAACCCTTTTTCTCACGATTTAGTTACCGCAATTGTTGGTCCGTTCGTTCTATCCGTTCGACGCCGGCAAGGGAATAACACATATATTGGTACTCATATACCAATTCTATTGGGTGCTTTTTATGCTTATTAACGCCAATTCATTAGATGTTCTCTTCTGTTCGTGGTTATTGTTTGCCTGCGAACAGCTGCAGCACCTGAAACAGATCATGAAACCTCTCATGGAATTGAGTGCAACTCTAGACACAGTGGTTCCGAACAGCAGTGAACTCTTTAAGGTCTGTCGAATATCCATGAATATTAGCCATAAAAAATTTTTCTTTTAAATATCTTTATATTCTTTATTCTTTTATAAAATCTAAAATTATATTTTTCGAGAAGTTCAAGTTAATTTCGGTTAAAAAAAAGAAGCTTTGTATTTATTTTACAATTTATTTTATCGATTTTAGCATGACAAGTAATTTGAAATATTTACAATAAAATAGTCAATTAACAAATAAATGATGCAAAAATCTGAAAAAACTCGTATTCGCCTGATTAGAATTTCCATTGGAATTTCCATCTTAACGAGATTTTTTTATACTCACATAGGCTGGTAGCGCGGATCATCTTCGCGAATCGGAGAACAATCAGCCACCACCGCCAGCACCTCAAGGCGACAGTATGCTGGATCTCGATCTTCGTAACATATACAGCAATCGGCAGGACTTCACAGCAACTTTCCGTCCGACCGCTGGTATGACCTTCAATGGTGGCGTAGGACCAAATGGATTAACGAAGAAGCAAGAAATGCTCGTCAGGAGCGCGATCAAGTATTGGGTGGAGAGACATAAGCATATTGTCAGGTGAGTCACTCTTGTTAGATTGTGCATGATTCCTACCTAAGTCCAACGATACTAGCCGTGATGTCAATCGAATTAACTTCTCGCTATATAGAAAGAAATCATAAGACATAAAGCATCAAGACCAGATAAAAGATTCAGTATCGAATACCGTGATGAGAGATGTGAGACCGTCTCTCTCTCTCTCTCTCTCTCTCCTCCCTCCCCCTCCCCCCCCCGTGTTCTACTTATCCACTGAAGATGTATAGTTAATTCATACGACTCCTCCGCTATGACTGAACGACGGATCATTTCTTTGAAAGTCATCTGCATCTTGTGTGAACTAGTGACCCAGAATCCTGTATAACACGTATGAGACATGTAAAGTATTTAGTATATAGTCAGCATTATATTGACCCCATGAAGAGAAAGACGCGCTAACCACTCCCTTAATTATTAAAAAGCGCGCATGACAAAGTTGCGTACGCGGCCAAACATCATGTCGTGAATATTTTAGTATATGCATAAACACGTTTCAGATCTGTCTTTCGAGAGTGATATTTATTATTCAATACGAGATACATCAATACGGTAGAAAAATAATTATGAAATGTGTGAAATTAACATTAATACTACATGAGTGAAGTAAAAGCAGCACAATTTTTTCATCAGAGATAAAAAAATAAGGGGATAAGACAAATTTAAAAATATCATAGAAATATATATATCATAGATATTGAATAATTATTATGATTGATTTCTAATCTTTCGATAATTTTATAATATTTATTAATATTAAATATTATTAAACGTTGAAATCATTAGAGTAATGCAATAATACTATTTTATTGCGCTAAATACTTAACAATATTCAAAATACTTATATGTAAAATACTTAACAATATTAAAAAAAATTACTAAAATCATTAGTTATAAATAAGACAAATAAATATATTTTTAAAACAGCTTATTTCCATAATAGTAACGGATATGTAATTTTTTAATTAGACTTTGATAAAATTATTTGAAATCCACGTGGCATTCAGTGCGTTGAAATTAATTAAGAGAACTTACAAAAATGTTTGAAATCTTTGAATTTCAATACCACGTATTTATTTTCTTTAAAAATAAATAAAATAAATACAACATATTTCCAACATTTATTTATAACTTGATAATTAATGTAAATAATATAATTTTAATTTAAAAAAAACGTATTATTTTTTACGAATTACGATGTACGTCGTTCTTCATAAAATTGTGAGTATGCGGAATATCGATCAATGACAGCAAGATTGATTGTCCACTGAGAAAAAAAATTTTTCTCGCGAGAACGGTGCGAACGGATGCCGTGTTCCTGTAGATTCGCGGGGGTGCCGAAGCCACTCGTCGACTGGCACGGGATGTGCGTGTTCCCACGGTGGTGAAGTATTTATTCTAAGAAAGCGCGATATTGACCGCAACGGGGGTCGTGTGTTATACGAACTGTGCGATTCATGGGGAGCGTATTCGCCGCGACGTTTCACGTGCGCGTAACGTGCGCACACGTGGTTCACCTGCCAACACGCTTGACGACAGATTTTTGCCCACAAGTCGCACCCTATAGACATGTGTTTCACACCCACGTGGTATTATCGAACGAATTGTTTCTTGCGACACATGTCACATGTCGATTTTATCAATAAAGAATACCCCATTGTTATTTTCAATATTCTTCAACGCACATTTTTTTCTTTTCTTTTTTTTTTTTTTTTTTTTTTATTTGAAATATACTTTATTTGTTGCAATTTTGATTACTACATATTAAATCTCGTGTCATTTTTCAGAAGTCTATTTTCAAGAATCAGCACATAAAAATTTTTTTAAAGCTCTTTCTGATCTTCTCTTTTATTTCAATTTTTTAAAAAAATTATTTCTTAACAATTTCAGCAACAGCCTAAAAAAGATTTAAACAAATTGATTGAAAATTGTTATAATAGCTATTATTATTTAAATAATAAGAAACTCGTGTTATCACTTTTGCGATATTGGACGTAAGAGATATTGACCGCAACAAAGGTCATGTCCTAGGGGTAAATAGTCTAGGGGATGAAGTTTTCACATAGCAGACTATGTGGTTATCGGTGATACATGTATAATCCTTCAAAATTTTAAAGAAGAAGAAGAAGAAGAACGGCCTTACTCGAAAATTACATTACAAATTTCCACGTATGTTTCACGGATGTGACTCTTCGCGACAATGTATGACATTGTATAGACTAACGCATTTTCTTCAAGGCGTTTCGACGTATCGATCATTTACTTACGGGGAAATAACGTTAACTCGACGAACGGTCGGCGAAATAGGATATACGTGGTGAAACGGAAGCGAACATTCATACAACTTAGTTCTAATCACTTAGTTTAGTATGAAAATCAAGGGTGGTGTACCTATGGACAAAGGAACGGGTATTAAGAATACATCTTTCATGAATTGCCCGTCAACAGCGCTTTTAATGGCGGCATAAGCCAACCCGTGGACAGTTCGGGTTAGCCCCCCTTTTTTTGGCGAATTAGCGCTAATGATAATTAATTCTTGTTTTAACGATCACGTTGTAGATTGGTTACCGCGGTCGGGGATGCATACGGTTTCGCGCTTTTGCTCCACATGTTAACGACGACCATCACTTTAACGCTGCTCGCCTACCAAGCGACGAAGGTGAGTGCGTTGCTAGCTGGTCACTTTTATTTTCAAGGACCTGAAGGACAAATGACGTATCGATCCTATAAATTAGTAAAGCAAGTAATGCGAAGTCGATGGCTTAATGCAGACTCGAATATATCAGGAATTAAGTATTCATACTAATATGTTCGAGTTTTAAATGCTACAGGTGAACGGTATAAACGTATATGCGGCCTCCACGATCGGCTACGTGCTCTACACGTTCGGCCAGGTCTTTTTGTTCTGCATATTCGGAAACCGCTTGATAGAAGAGGTGCGTAAGTGAAGCGAAAAATTCAACGATTTTTGAAATTTAAAATGATATATTTTTATAAAAGAAAAAGATAAAAATAAATGGAAATTTAAAAAAAATTATATGTTTAATGCAATGTTCGGCGATGCGTCTAATAAGAATTTTGTTTCTTCTTTAGAGCACCTCGGTGATGGAGGCGGCTTATTCTTGCCATTGGTATGACGGGTCGGAGGAAGCTAAAACATTCGTACAGATCGTGTGTCAACAGTGCCAGAAAGCTATGTCAATATCGGGGGCGAAATTCTTCACGGTGTCTTTAGATCTCTTCGCTTCGGTAAGACTAAATCTATTTCTATTTATCTCGAAGATCGAGTTTCTCCTCACGCTCAATGATTCTGCGATAATGAGTTCTATAATGAAATTAAGAAATTTTGATTAATGTTCTGTTAATTATAATGGAATAATGTAATTAACAATTTTTTAAAAATTCCATAGGTACTGGGAGCCGTGGTGACTTACTTCATGGTGTTAGTGCAATTGAAATGAATGTTCGACTCCATGCGTTTCGGATGCAGTCTCTTACATTGCACACGGCTGTGCAAGATTATATTTTTTAACATATTTACAAGAATCCAAATGGAGCATTCATATTGTGAAGATTCTCGGGAGTATTTTGCGTCTTTATGGACGCGTAGTGAGAATCGCGGATTGGAAGCACAGTTGCTATCTTTAGAGTATTGGTTTTATCGGAGATCTGCTCATTCATCGATATTCGATATATTTGAAATGAATATTGTTATTACAATGCTTTTTCTAAAAGAGAGATCATGAAAAAATAAGTTTTTCTGTTGGAGATTCCTTTTGAAAACCAAATGTATACAGAGATGTATATCTGTATATTCCTCTTTCTTCCCAAAAAAGGGTTACCAAAATTTAAAACCGGTTTAGTTAACCGAGTATTTTTTCTGTTTACCGAAGATTTGTTTAAAAACCAGAGAAGTATCAATGCGATTAGAAGCTACATGTCAAATTTGAGCGATAAAAATGGAAGAAATTATTTTTACTGTTATTTAAGAAGTATAAGCGATAAATATATTCTTTTTTTATTATTATCTAAGTTATAAAGTGACAAATAAGTTCTAGTATACGAGAAGAAATTTCAATTTGTTTTCAAGGCTATGTTTATTAACTAATAAAAATATTTAATGCAATTATTTTTTAATTATGTCATCTTTTGTTTCTATCATTAGTCAAAATTGTTTCCTCCTATAGCACATATCATATTTTGTGTATACGAAGATTTTTTTTTTTATTAAAACTTCAGATTAATGATAAGGAAACAAAAGAAAATATAATTAAATGATAAATGCAACAGATATTCATTATTGTTTACTGAACAAAAGACTAAAAATAAATTTAAATTACGCTTATTCATTCTAAATGTGCTGAAATTTCTTTGCCTACTGGAATGTATTCGTTATCCTATAATTAATGAGAAAAGCAGCACTTTCTTTCATTATAGAATGTAAATTTTAGCACATAGCTGTCTATATAAATTTTTCTCTCCATGTTTGTTGTGCATATAGTAATAGCAAGGAATAATGGCAATATAAGCACTCGTCGCGATTCATTTTTACGCACATTAATTATAATTAAGTCATAATCAGGATTGGGAAGTAACACGTTACTTGTAACGTCATTATCGTTACAGTTACTTTTTTGTAACGGATTGATAACGGCGTTATTTTTTTTGTAGTAACTGTAACGATAACATAGTTACATTTTTTTCAATAACGAATTGAACTTACTTTTATCGTTACTTTTTACATTTTAAACTTAATTATATATTAATATATAGCTTTTTGTATTTTTGATGTTTAATCCTTGATCGATATTCATGGTCTGTTGTTATATTTAAGACTGTCTTAAGAATAATTTTAAGGTATTATAAACTAATCACAGAGTCGTATTATATGTAGTATATATAGTATAAGAACAGACTTTATAAATACCGGTCTTTAAAAATTTGTAAACATAACATATTAAGAAGATACAAAAGAAATATAAATTTGGCTGCATTAATGAATTTAATGAAAACCATAATCCTTTTATTTGTTTTTTGAGTATTCTAAAACCTTTCTTCTTAAATTTTTTTGTGAGCTTGCAAATTTAAGATAAAAAATTTTATTATTTCTATTGATAATTTACAAATATAATTTTACAAATATAAAAAAATATTATAAAGATAATTTTTTATTTAATTTGATCTTGTTTCAGAGTTTAATTTATTAAAGAAGTAACGAAAAAAGTAATGAATTGTTTCTTTTTAAATAATGATAACAAGTTATTTTTCAAAATCAGTATTTACTAATTATTTTTTTAACTTGATAATGAGTAACGATAACAACTTTCAAAAACTAACTTTCCCAAGCCTGATCATAATGCTTATGGGGAAAATATACGCTAATGTCATTCGAGATATACTGCGACGTCTCGTACCGATTGTCCATTTTTCTTTTTTTTGGTCGTAATCTATCAAGAGTTCAATACAGGCTAAAGAGTAAACTCAGTAAAAATCTTCAAATTCCTGCGCAAATAATATATAAATTTCAATAAATGCAATACAAATTCGAAATTGAAATAAAATTCGAAAATAAAAACGAAGTGTAATTGCCAGTTTAATATCTGCGCAGAGATGGAATATACTCGTTTTATTCATAAGGTCTGATAAAACTACTGATTGTCCACATGTCATATAATCGACAATAGAACATGTAAACGCGAGAAAATTTATTATCTTTATTTAAGATTACTCAGCATTCGCGTTCTCGAACCTCTTACATTTTGAAAATCACATATAGGAGAAGAAAGATAAAACGGTGTGTACACTAATGTTCGAACAATCTGTAAATATTTGATAATTGCATTTTTTAATGAAAGTAAAACGCGCTGAATTGTATTAAATTTTGACACGTCTTATTATTATATATGTAACGAGCAATAGTTTAATGCTATCACAAATGCACATCAAATATTTTTTTTATTTACTTTATTTATTGTGTTTCATTAAGAATTAAATTGTATGAGAATATTATTATTTTAATTTTATCTTGCAAATTTTGCAGTTTGACTAATTTTTGAGTGAGTTTCCTCTTTCTCTATTTTCTTCTGTCACTTATTAATAATAAAATTTAAAGTTTTATATTAGTTTCTACGTCTTTCAACATAGAAAATACGTAGTTTCCGACATGATTTATTAATTTCTATATTTGTCACTTAACCCTACAGTAGAAATATACGAACAGTTTCTGCTTCTTCGCGCATCTACTGGAGGATTAAGTAGAAATTCGTCAGTCAACGAGTGGCAATTAATGAGATAGTGAGATGGATCAAAAATTTCGCCGCCCTATTGGAAAAGGGTTTATTAGCTTCTTGAAGCTATTTTGCTTCTTGATAAAATAAGCGGCGACGCAATCGATGTGGTACGTCAATTATTACATGGTACAATTATCGAACGGTACTTGGATCTAAATAAAGATAGAGAGTAAGAAAAAAAAATATATATATATATATTTTCATTATACGTAATTACATAAGTGTGGACAAACATATATACCTAATGTACCTCGTTTTTTATATTTTGTAACATCTCTTGGTGTCTTTAGTAAGATAATATTTTGTCACCTAGAAGATGTCCAAGAAGAAATATTTGCACCATGCCTGGCCGCTTATTTTGACTATTATAACATATATCGTATAATATATCTTTATCGACGCGGATATCGTTTTGCGAGACGACTGCGATTTTTAATTTTTTGGTCGAATAGCGAAAAAGCGGGAAGTATCGTCGAAAGAGGAAATCGAAAAATGTTAAGCCGGTACGGGCGTGTATCTGGCGATATCCGAGCTCGATCTAACTTTGGATTTAATGTATGATTAACGTATGTGTACATTATTATGATCAAGTATTAATCGATGAAGTCACAGTATTATCAAATAGTTTTTCTCTATGTAAAGCTGTGTTATATTTATTTAATAAAATCTTGATATAAACGTTCATATAAATACCAGCGTATTCAAAGGAGAATCCAATTTTCTCATTGCATGTTCAAGTCAGAAGAAGTTTTAAAAAGCCATGATCTCCACACAATCTCATTAAAAAAAAAAAAATCATCTCTTCAAAAATTCATTACACGATTATTATTCCAAGAGAGCACTGTAAGGAATAGAAATTTTGAAAGACGCCTCGGAATACATATCCGTTATGTTACGATAATCGCTAATAAAGGCTGCCTTGCCTCACAAAATTCAATAAATTAGCACGGGCCATGAGTTTCTCCTTATTCGATTCAATCGTTGCTTTTAAAAAATATGACTCTTCCGGCATGTAGAAAGTAATGATCTTATATAAATACGATTTACGGTTGAACCGCGTAAGCAATTCCACGTGCAAATTTTCACGAGTAAAATTGTAGGGATGAAAAGGGATCGATGAAAAGATATCTTGCCGCTTTTAACTATATGAGCAAACACCTCGACAATTTTGAACAAATAACGGACTTTCTTCTCGCATTACATTCTTTATATTAAATTTTTATTCTTTGCTTCTTATGTTTTAATAAAAAGCGTAATATAAAATGTCAGAATAGATACATGACGTATAAAATAAGTCGAGTTGCACACGATTGCACGCCTCTCTTCGTGTTTTTTCAGCGTTAATAATAAGATATTGACGTAAAGTGTGGAGATGTATATAGGGCGTTTCAACTTTGCAAGTTTGTCGTAGCTTATTAAACTATATAAAAAGCATTTGGTTAATATAAATAAGTAAATAAGTTCATTTAAATAACTTTTTGTTTCGATAAAATAAACTGCTTATGTGTTATTTATCGTTTGTGAAAATAATTATTTTTTCGTTTTTTCAAATTCACCTTAGATGATTGGAATTCTATCTAAAATTATAAATAAATTTTCACTCTGAGATATGATATAAAATGCAGATTATCTGAAGTAAGTTTTACAACATGCTTTTTGTATTTTCCCTTTGTTTTAATATCATAAACACACATAACATATATAAAAGCACGGATGGATAATTTATACTTTCGAAACGAAAAAAATCGCTATTTATTTTGAAAGAATCAATTTGCAAATCCATTGTGATTGAATACCGCCTTTTATTCACAGCTATTCAGTGAATAGGTGCATAATCATAACTCATCTTCTCGAAACACCCTGTACATCTCGACGAGACGTGACAACGTCTATTAAGAGTTCGTAAAAATAACCGTTTGGCAAGCCGAGTGAGAAATTGGCGCGTCGGATTTGCACGCAGGCGCAAAACGCGAGTATCTCCGTGCGGATTCTAGGGGTAGTTTCGATCGTCCGGGGGATGAACTATGCCGTGCTGCCGCCCGAGACGCCTCTACCTCGTGCGTTGCTCTCGTGCGATGCTGCCTGAAACGAGATCTCTCGCGGCGCCGTCGTTTCGTGACAGTGACACGCCTGCGGAGCGCGTGGTACCGATCTGTCGCGATTGCGTAATCGAGGATCAGGTCGTCAGTCAAGTGTCGGGAAAGTCGAGTGGACAGGAAAGGAATTTTTGCGGTCCAAAGAGGATTCTGTGATCGCGCGTCGTCGGAGAGGAGAGGATGCACCGATCGTGGTCGAGGCGAGATCAGGCCGCTGGCTCCATCGACAGTAAAATCGGAGGGATCCGAAATCAAATCTGCCAAACTTCATTGACGAACCTTGGTGACGATCGTCCCTACTAAACGCAGTCGTTTCTCCTCGAGAAGCAATATACGTAAAAGCAATACTGGCACATGGATTGCGTTTGACACATCACGACTGTCTCCGCTTTCCGTCGTCGTCATCGCCGTCATCGCCGATCGTAAATACAAGAGGAAAATGATATTAATGCGGCGACGTCTGACGATGAACGCGGTCCAATACGCATGCGTTCGCCAAATCTGAATGCGACTGAGATCGGATCTAGACGAACCAGGCGTGCGCAAACCGAAGATATTCTGAAGATCAAAAATCGAAGAAGAACCCATAGGGATGCAAATCGATTGTCAATCAACCAAGTACAATTTAGAATAATTGCTAACAATCAAAAATCGATATATGATCTCGAGTTCAGATCTCAGTATTCTAAAAACAATCACTATGTTTATCCGTTTTTCTGACGAAGCGAATTAAAATGCATTTTCCCTCACGTAAAGCGTATCAGAAATCTAATTGGTCGAGATTATCTCGATTATAATTTTCAATTTTTAGCATTTCAAGAATACGAGCACGTGACGATCGAAACGATGATTGATCGTTCGATATTACAAGACAGTGATATATCCGTACGTGAGATATGTAATTAATGTTACGTAACGCCTATCCATGAAGTAATAGGCTACGATAGATTCTGGGGAGGATATGAGAGAGAAGAAATCAAACTCGAAATTGCTGTTTGATTAGTGGAGCCAAGGAACACTTGATGGACAATGAATCTCAGTTCTTTATTCATAATCTAATCTACGAGACTGAACTACATTGGTTGTTAGATTCTAAAAAAAGGTAGAATAAAACGAGATAATTTTCCTCGAAA